CGTTTTTATATATTACACCAGATCCATCCCTCACATGTTATTCTTATCTCTATATTTTATTTAGATATGTCTACTTCACATTTGGACTCTTAATTTGATCTCCTTTATCACTTTGTTCATGTGATATACTAAGTGAATTCTACATTCATTGTAACCACCCAGTCGGCCTAGGCCAAGTATCGCACGGAGGATTTCGAGACTACATGCATATTCTATTCAAGAGATGAAATGTGATTTGTAGTAGATACCTAAGTGTCTAGTCATATTCACCTCAGTCATATGATCGATATGTTTATGTAACTCTAACATACATGTTGAATTAAGACAATCACTAATCTTGTATTTTTAATGTGATCACCGCTCGCTCAACAAGATCCGCTCATAATACTTTCCTTCTTCCTCATATATACAAATTACTCTAATTTATTTTTTTTCTTATTTTGATAAAGTAGTTTAGAAGTTAATAGTCAACTGTAAACATGCTTTTGAACCTAGTTATTAACTAACAATTCAGGGTTGTACCAATGTTTTTTGCAGTCGGGTTGCTGCAAGCCCACCAACAAAACGGTGGAGAAGAAACGGCAGCAGGGCCAGAACCCGAACGTGAAACGTGGAGTACCTAACGAGGACAACTTTGCTAAACTGTGAGTCGTGCAAAGCCAAATTCTTGAGAACATGTAGACAGAGTGGAGGTCCTGGCGAAGTCATCAAATACTGCATTCTATATTTAGTAATAATCATCTACTCCAGTGGCTGTTGTGCTGCAGGAGTAATCGATCTAGTCGCTAACCATGGATACAAAGGCTAACCGTGATTCTTTGATCTTACATATGAGATCATTCAATCTAATATCTTGTTGTCTGTTTTAGATTACAATGTTGCATTGTTTTGGATTATAACATTTGGAAAACAAAAGGCTGGACATAGATTTGAGATTAGATGGTGTAGCTGTTTCAATTTCTTGATATGATATTAGACCACAACACATATATCTTGGCCATTATACAAATTCTGCACAAAAATTCTGATTTTTCTTGTTTCTAGGATTAGAACTGCCTTTTGAAAATCTACCAAATAGAAACAATGATTGCCATATATAATTATATATTTAAACAATTTTGGGTTTAAAAAATTATTTGCAAACATAAATTGTAAGAGAACAATATATTCTCAACAATTTTGTAACCACCACCTATACTGGATAACTCATATTAGTTCTTTGTTTGAAAACAAAATAAAAACAATAAAGACAAAAAATATAAGGGTAAAGTTTATATTGACACCCCCCGAGACTTAAGTTTATTACAGTTTCATCTTGACTTTGAAAAATACATATCCCCTCCCTGAGGTTTAGAAGTCTTCATTCAATTACTCCTCCGAGCAATTAATTTTTTAAAATTTCCAATTTGCCCTCACTGGGTAAATTACATTAACACATCTCAACATTTTAGAAAATTGCAATCCCCTCCCCAAGATTTAAAGTACAATTACCAATTGCCCCCTCGGTAGTATTAGTTGAAAAAAAACTTACCTGAAAAAAAAAATTAATTGGAAAAAAAATTTATTTGAAAAAAAAAAATTATCTGAAAAAAAAAAACTTGTTAGTCAAATTTTTAAAATTTCTATTTAAAACCAACGTAAATAAAAATTACAAACTGACATGCCCTTTATAGGTTTATGTTTATTAATCCCAAAGATAAAAAATATATAAAAAATGAGATAATTATTTTTAAATTTCTTAATTTCTCGAAACCAATAAATTTTAAATTTTTAAAAAAATAATCTAAAATCAAACCTACATGAGCCTAAGAATCTTTTGATAAATTATTTCTACGTGTAACCTTTATTTACTTTATTTGTTAATTTAACGATATTTTTAACCCCGTCTGAGGCCTGTTTGTAATCCATTTTGTTTTCAGTTTTCATTTATATTACAACAAATTTTAAAAACTGTCATAAAAAAATGTTTGATAATTTTTTTGTTTAATAAATGGTTGTCTCAGTTTGTAAATTTGAGAAAAAACAATAAATTCAAAAAATGAGTTTACGTTGGTTTTTAAACAAAAATTTAAAAAATTTACTAATAAATTTTTCTTTCAATTAATTTTTTTCTAATGAATTTTTTTTTTTTCAATGAATTTTTTTTCAACTAATACTAACCGAGTGGGCAATTGGTAATGCTACTTTAAACCTTGGAGAGGGGATTGTAATTTCTAAAATGTGAAGAGTGTTAATGTAATTTATCCAGTGAGGGCAAAATTGGTATTTAAAAAAACTAAATTGCTGAAGGGAGCAATCTGTAATGAAACTTTAAACTTCAGGGAGGGGGATGTAATTTTCAAAAGGTGAGGGGGGAACTGTAACAAAAATAAACCTCAGGGGGTGTCAATGTAATTTACCCAATAATATAATATCATATATCTAGGGGTGTAAATCTAGTCCACCGGTCCGTGGCCCATGCGAAATCCGCCTGTGGACCACTGCGGACCTACCCGTTTGGGCTCGAGCCCTAACCCGAGCCTACCTAAAAACCTTGGACCTAGGCCTGGACCTGGACCATCTATTTTGAAGCTTGACCCAATTCAAGCTCGATTGGCCCAAAAATTTTCACCCTTTATTGACTCGACCTTATAATTTTCACCCTTGTTGGCCCGACCTAATGTGCATAATTCCACTCCCAAGGTCAAATTTTTTGAAATTCCTTCAAACGGGTCGACTGTTATTCTTTAACGGCCAAAACTTTTTTTTTTTTTAATAATTTAAGCCCTTCCCCCACAATTCCTATAAGTATCACCTCCTCTCTCATTTTATTTCTAATAAACAAATCTCTCACTTAAACTCTCATTCTCTCTCAACTCTTTCAATTAATTTTCAAGTATCATTCTTAAGTGACAATTGTAATAGTGCAAGAAAATTTTTTTATCAAAAGAAGTTAAGTTTTGTATCATATTCGCCAATCGGCAACATTGATTATTTGAATTAACATTTATTAGTTACTCATTTTTTTACATCTATTGTTTGTTAACGTATATTACTTGTTGTTATTCATGTTTATTATTTATTCTTTATTTTAATTCATTTTTAGTTAATATATATATATTGTTTTACTTATATTAATATGGATCCTAATGTCCCTAATATTTTTGTCTATATTGATGAATATACATAACATGAATCTATTGACTCTCCATCTACTATATCTAATAACCCTCTTCCAACAGCATCATCATCATCTAGAGAACGTTTAGTACTGTTTGTGAGCATTTTGAATGACTATTTGTACCTAATTCTGATGGAACAAATGTAATTAAAGTAAAATGTAAATATTGTGCAAATCTACTTAGTATTGCATCAATAGGGAGTACTAGTCATCTAAAAAAATATGTTAATAAAAATTTACACAGCTAACAACTTTTTATTAGAACTCAAATGCAATTAAGAAGTTTAACAAATGGTAATTTGCAAACATTTTTATATAATCTTATATGTGCACAAAATTATGTAGTTAATTATGTTATTAAAAAATAATAATCTTTTACTATTAATAAATGTCCCGATTTTCTAGAAACGATTCACAAAGATTTTGCACCTTAATATCAAGGTTTTTCAAGAAATATTACTAGAAATAAGACTTTAAAGAAATTTGAGAATATTAAAAATGAATTATTTAACATTTTTAAAGATTGGAATGGAAAATTTTGTTTAACATCTGATCTGTGGTTAAATTGTGGTTTATATTATCAATGAATCCTTACCTATTATATTGATAATGATTGAAAATTAAATAAAATAATAATTTCATTTAGATTAATAAAATTGATGAGAATAATTGCATCACTACATATTGATATTGATAATGTCACTCTTTTATATCTATCCACCATTAGTAAAATTGATTGAAATTAATAATGAAATGACCAAAGTTAGATTATAATAAAAAGTGTAAGGACTAATGTCATATTTTAATAAAACTGTAGCAGCTAATGAAGTGAGAAAGATATCATGTATTGTTCACATAATAAGTTTCATAGTTTTATTAACGTCAAATGAATAGAAGATCGCGTAATATTATTGTAACCTTAAAGTGTAAGGAGTTGATTGTTACAATTAAAAATAAAATAATCAAAATAAAATTTTAATAAAAATATAGGGAAATTCTAAAATAACCTTTAAAAAGGATGCATATTGTGCACCCCTAGTTATGTCATTTTTTTTTTTTAGTTATGATATTATTTTAATTATAACTAATAAATTCTTTGATTATATCTCATGTTGTGTTTAATTATGACATATTTTTTTAGTTATAATTCAGGAAGTATAAAATTATATCATTTTCTTTTTTAGTTATAAGGTACATATAATAGACACCCTTTGAACAGTGTATACCATAGTATTTCCCAAGCGTGTAAAGGTGTTAAGTATAATTTATCCCATATATTATATAAATTAGATAAATTACACTATTTAAGTTTTTTCTCAACTTACGTCTCTAATGTTTCTAAATTTTTCCAATTTATTCCAATTAGCCAACATTCATCCAAAATTGTACAATGGACAGCTACATTGTCCCAAATTTAAAACCCACACTCCACGTTCCCCTCCTTCCTTTCCTCAGAGCTATAATTGTCGAATTAATATAATTAATCTAATTTTAAAACGTGTGACTAAAGAAGATGTGCATCAAACATTTACTCATGCACAGAAATTGAGTTTTAGTGGTGTAACTTAAAATAAATGTACATTCATGGAGATGCAAATGATAAATGTACATTCATGAAGATGCAAAGGAATGCAAGCAAAAGTTGTAGAGTAATATTAGAGACCCCATAAATTCTACCAAAAATTTTATCAAACGTCTTACATATGTGTAAGACCCACACAATGTGAGTCTTATGTCAGTCTCATACCCATGTGAAACATTTAGTAAAATTATTCCTAAAATTTTTGGAGTCTTTAACATTTTTGAAAGTTGTATCCCATGCCAAAGCTTTCACTTTCACTTGCATCAAACAAAGATACACTTGTACTTCCATGAAAATTACAAATTACAATTATTTCAAGTTTTTCCCACCGAAAGCCAATTTCCCGAACAACTCTTCAGACAAAATACGGTGTAAAGCTCCAAGAAGAAAATGAATCACACTATAAAGCATTTCATTGCTTTAATAGCCTATTGACAACACAAGGCAAGGCGCCACAAAAAGAAAATAAAAATTATCTAAGCAAAATTAAGAAGTCATAAAAGTTTATCTAGGTTTGAACTTCAATGAAAAACGAAAACAAATGAGAGGATATCGAGCTCTCACTTGAGAAAAGTACATCCAAGAAACAAAAAGACATATGCCACCAGTGATGTTAGAAGTTCAAGTGTCCAGGTTGGATGTATCACAACTGATGGGATCATGGGAACCAAGAAAGAACCACATACCCAGCCAACCACAAGAGATCCAAATCTGCGATGAAGTAGACAAACCATTTAAACAAAAGCAAGAGGGGAAGGGTAACATGCACGGAGATGTTCAACACAGAAAAAACAATCAATCTCTTCTTATAGAAACTTACCCAATAATGGAAGCTCTAGCTAAGCTCTTTGTCTTGTCATTAAGGAAGTATATGCAAGCTGCCAAAGAAATGGCCACCTGCATAATGGAAATAAATATTATTTTGAAAGAAAGTAAATATTATTTACAAATATTCTTCACGTATATACAGAAATCAATTAGACCGAAAAATTAATTAGACCAAGCGCATATGATATGTGTGTTCATTGCCAGGTGTATAAAGAACAGCTTAATGATAGTTTCAGCATTGGTTATCCCATCCAACAGAGAGGTGGAGACTTAAAATGTTAAAAAAGGTCAATTTCATGCTACAATAGACTATTTTTTGAAGAGAAAATATCATTTTGCCTCCCAAACTATCATTGAAAAATCAATTCAACCCATGTTCTTTCAATAATATCAATTTTATACCTAAACTTTTCAATTTTGCATCAATTTCACCCCCACCGTCAATTGCCATCTATAATCAAATAGAAGTTGCTAATGTGGGGCCCAAACTTCATTTGAAATTTCATTTTATCTCCAAACTATCAATTAGACCCCTGAACAATAAGAAGTTTGGGAGTCTAATTTATATTTTATAGATAGTTTGGGGGGCAATAAAATTTCAAACAAAATTTCAATGCCATGTCAACATCTTCCGTTTGATTATAAACGGCAGCTAACGGCAGGGGTAAAATTGATCCAAAATCAAATAGTTTAAGTGTAAAATTGATATTATTAAAAAAACAAGGGTTGAATTAATTTTTGAGTGATAGTTTAGGAGGCAAAATCAGTGCTGTGAAAAGCGCACCTAGGCGTGCGCCTAGACACAAGGTGAGGCGAAGCGCACTGTTTGCGCCTGGACAGGTCCCAGGCAAGGCGATTTGAGTTAGGCGCACGCCTTAGACTTGACTTGAACCAGGCGGCAGAGGCGCAAGGCGCACAACTAGGCACGCTTGATTTTTTAACAGCTAGTTTTGATCTAACAGTTGTGAGGGTGTATTCGAATGGCTCTTAACCACAGAGGATTACAACTCATGTACAATATGACCCAAATACGACTCAAATGAACCCTAATTTGTGTCGTCTCTTCATCTCTCGCCTCGCCTTGGACTTCGACTTCGACTTCGACTAGGCTGCTCGACTTCTTCTTCGACTTCGCATCGCAGGTATGCTTCGCCATATTCTTTTTCTGGTCTTCTTCTTCGACTTCGACTTCTTCGGTTCTGTTTTTTTTTTTTTTTGTGGCTTCGACTTCGACTCTGACTCTCTCTCTCCCTCTTCTTCTTCTCCTTTTGGCTATTCAACTACCCTTTTTTTTTTTTTCTTTCAATTATGCCTTTGAGTCTGTTAGAAACAAAACAAAACAAAACAAAAAAATACAAATACAAAAGAATTAACTAAAAAAAAAATAGACTAAAAAAAATAGATTCTAATTCTGATTGAAATAGATTATGCCTTTCAATTATGCCTTTTTTTTCAAATTTTTTTTTCCTTTATCTGTTAGGGGAAAAAAAATAGAATTCGATTCTGATTAATTAACTAAAAAAATACACTGAAAAAAATTACAAATAAATAATTATTCACAAATAATTAATTAATACAATGTGTTACTAGTCTTTTTTTTTTCCCTTATCTATTAGGGGAAAAAAAATAGATTCTGATTCTGATTAATTAACTAAAAAAAAAAACACTAAAAAAAAAATTACAAATAATTAATTATTCACAAATAATTAATTAATACAATTTGCTATTGACCTTTTTTTTTCTTTTATCTGTTACAAATACTTAATTCATCACACATTACATTACATTGAAATGAAATGATTTTCCATTTATTAAATTTGTTGCGTAGAAAATGACATCGGAAAGTAATAGAAAAGATCCAGCATGGCAATATGCCCATTTGGTAGAGGAGAATAATTTAAACAAGTTCAAGTGTAATTTTTGTGGTAAAGTATCAAATGAAGGTGTTTATCGGGTGAAACAACATCTTGCGGGAGGTTATAGGAATGTCACTGCTTGCCCGAAGTGTCCAGCTCATGTAAGAGAAGAGATTAGAGAGTTCATGTCAAAAAAGAAGACACAAAAAGAAGAAATGAACACGTTGCCTTATTTCGATGACATGGGCATAGAAGATGAAGATGAAGATGAAGATGAAGATGATGTTGTTGAGATCAATGTCAATCAACACCGTAAGTTGACAAGTAGCAGCCAAGGTTCATCCAAATCCAAATCCAAAATGCCAAAGAGAAAAGGGCCTATGGATGTTTACTTCACACCCAATCTTGAATCAGTGGTGAAAAATAGAAGAGACCAAGCAAAAAGGAAGCAAACCAAAATTGAGGCAAATGACCCTTACAAAAAAGAAATGAGAGCTCGGGTAGTGCAAAGATTTGCAAGGTGGATGTATGATGCTGGTATCCCTTTTAATACAATAAATTATGAGAGTTTTGGACCAATGATTGAAGCCATTGGGCAATATGACTCTGGTATGAAGCCACCAACTTACCATGAAGTGTGGGTTACCCAACTCAAAAAAGAAGTGAAACATACTGAAAATTTGATGAAGAATCATAAAGAGGATTGTGCAAAATACGGGTGTTCCATAATGGCTGATGGCTGGACTGATAAGAGAGGAAGGACATTGATTAACTTTTTAGTTAATTGTCCAAGAGGAACCATGTCTGTTGAGTCGGTTGATGCCTCTAGCTATTCAAAGGATGGGCAAAAGCTATTTAAATTACTAGACAAGTTTGTGGAGAAAGTTGGAAAAAAAAAAAAAGTGGTGCAAGTTATCACTGATAGTGCTGTAGCTAATGTGTTGGCAGGTAAGAATATTTCCTCGTTCCTTACATCAAAATTGTTTACTCATAGTTTGTTTTGCATTTAAAATTTAAATACTTGAAATAATAATTCTTCGTTATTGTTACATTATAGGGAGGTTTTTGGAAGCCAAGTATGAACACCTGTATTGGACACCATGTGCTGCTCATTGCTTGGACTTGATGTTAGAAGACATTTTCAAGATACCTAGACTGAAAAAGACATTTGAAAACAGGTATTGCAGTATATGGCTACATTTACAACCGATCTACGTTGCTAAACATGATGAGGCGCTATACAAATTTGAAGAATTTGATCATGCTTGCAAAAACTAGATTTGCAACCGCCTTTCTGACTTTGTCTAGGATGCATCAACAAAAAAACAATTTGAAAAAGATGGTCACCTCCGAAGACTAGACCTCAAGCAAATGGGCAAAGGAGCCACAAGGTAAAAGAATGGCACAAACTTTGTTGATGCCTTCATTTTGGAATACTGTTGTGTTTGCCCTTAAGGTCTCGAGTCCTCTCGTCAAAGTGCTTAGATTGGTTGCTATTGAGAAAAAACCTCCCATGGGATACATTTATGAGGCAATGGATAGGGCAAAAGAATGCATTGCAAGTTCATTTGATCATAAAAAAGAGAAGTATAATGAAATCTTCGAAATCATCAACAAAAGATGAGATGTCCAATTATATTGGCCTTTACATGCAGTTGCGCACTTTCTTAACCCAGAATTCTTTTACCCAAAAGCGTTATAGATGCAAAAAGATCATGAAGTGATGAATGAGTTTTATGAATGCATGCAAAGGTTGGTCCTGGATGTCACTGTTCAAGATTCGATCACTAATGAGATGAGTATTTATATGAAGGCTGAGAGTCTTTTTGGCAAGTCTATTGCGATTATGCAAAGAAATATAAGGACACCGGGTAATATATTATAGACTCATGGAGTTAATTTTTAGTAATACTTTTACTAAAACTCAATACTTGGTAATAATTATTTCTAACTAGTGATTATCGCAGTTTATTGGTGGGCATCATATGGTTCTAAAACTCCAAACTTGCAAACTTTTGCCATGAAAGTCCTTAGCCTAACATGTAGTTCATCGAGTTGTGAACGAAATTAGAGTGTATTTGAATATGTGAGTATTTAACATTCTAACTAATTTTTTGTTCAATTCAAATATTTTTTATTCTCATTATATAAAATTTAATATCTTTTTAATACTTGCAGCTTCATAGCAAAAAAAGAAATAGATTGGAACGTCCCAATGATTTAGTGTTTGTCAAATATAATAGAACATTGAGATTTAGGTATGACATGCGCAACACTCTTGATCCTATATCTTTGCAAAATATTGATGAAAGCAATGAGTGGTTGCTTAGGAGAATGGATGGAGAATCAGATGGAGATAATGAGCCTGTGTTTGATGATGATGATGGCTTGACGTGGGCCACTGTTGCTAGAGCTTCTGGAGTAGAAGGAAGTAGCCATGCAAGTAGAGCAACAAGTTCACGCTCAAAGGCACTACCGAGGATATCTAAATCATCAAGATTAACTCCACTTCAACTAATAGATGAAGAGGAAGCGGGCTCAGATGACACAAAGGAGGAAGATGTTGAGGGATATAAATCAACTGATGGAGAAGAAGATGATAGTTTGCTTGCCATTGATGTTGAGGATGATGATTGACTGACCAACCAACCTAAGTTCTAACCTTTTTGTTTTGATATTGATGTTTTGAAGTGTTAAGACATATATTAGTATTTGTTAGATATTTATATTTTGGAAGTGTTTATGTTTTTGTTTTTGTTTTTATTTTATTGAATGTGGATTATTTTATCTTTGAAAATTGGAATGTTATGTAATATGCACTTTCATGGCTTTGAGAATTATGTTATATTTTGTCTTGAATTTGATTACTTTTTATTTTTAAACAAATTGTCTTAGTACTATGAATGATTAGTCTAAGTTAATTTTTTTATTTTTTACTAAGACTGTGCGCCTTACTTCAATAAAGCCCGCGCCTCGCCCTGCGCCTTGCGCCTAGGCCCCGAGAGACCTTCAGCGCCTTAGTGCGCCTTGAGCCTTTAAAAACACTGGGCAAAATGATATTTGCTCTTTTTTGCCTTCTATCATTATTATTTATCAATTTACTTTTTTGATAAATAAGCAATCTTATTGAAAGAGCATCAAGAAGATGCTAAAAGAATACAACGAACGAACCCAAAAAAAAGGCAGCTATACTGAACACATCTGGACTAGCATCTCATGTTTGATCTTTCTAGGGTCATGAAACAAATATTAATCATTCCATTATATTCTTAGAACCAACATTAATGTTGGTTGCTAGAATCTAATACAAGGATTCAAGGTCATATTACAGTAAACAACTGGGATCTTCAATGCTCCTTTAGCAGAATATACTCTTTTATACATTGGAGCACTCTTGACAACATGCCCAATTCATCACAAACACATTATTAGAAGTTAAGCAACCATCTCAACTTGAGCTACTTCAAGGCTTCTAAACAATACCTAAAATTTTATATTTCAAAGGCATATGGTTGGGTCTGTCAAAGAAGACAGTGTGTGCAATGAATAAGTCTGCCATGCATGAGATGGATCAAAATTATTAGCAAAAACAACACTTTCTTTTATGAATAGAACAAACAGTAAATTGAGTTAAGACAGTATGGTAAGGTTCATGTGGTTTATCATCCATTTCCCCCCTCTAATCCATCATCATTGAATTTTCTAAGAATTTAATATTCAGAGTCAAAACAGTAAACCCTAGATAAGCAGACGGATACGGCGATACGACAAAATTTGAAAAACTAGGATACGGGTACGGCAGGGATACATTCGTAAAAATATTATTTTTACAATTTTTAATAATGCAGTATGCATAAAAACAAAACCTATAACAAAAGACAACTTGATAAAAAAGAAAGATTCCTATAAAACTAAGAGTCTTCAAGGTCAATAGCTTCAACTTGTTCCCCTTTATTAGTGAATATCACAAGACCTTAGCTAAGGCCAAAGTCAAAAAACCATTCTTAAATAAAAATTTCAGCAAATATACTTTTTTAAGTCATCAATGATAGCCTAGGAAGCACGGATACAGATATGGTGATATGGGGATGTGGATATGGCGATATGTCAAAATTTGAAAAAGTATGATACGGGTACAGCGGGGATACATTCGTAAAAAAAAAAAAAATTATAATTTTAATAATGTAATATGCATAAAAATAAAACTTAAAGTAAATTAATAAATAAAGAGAGGGATTCCTATTTTACATGCCAACACCAAAAAAAGAATGAAAGCAAAGAGAAGAAACGTGAGAGAGTGAGAAAGCGAGAGAGAAGTTAGAGAGACAACAAGGATACATCAATTTGACAAATTCTATTACTTTAACTCTCACTATATTCCTCTTATCAAAGAACTAAACAAAATATTATAAGTAATATGTAACTTCGAGTATCCGATACTTCAAAATTAAGTATCCGATACTTCAAAATTAATAAAAAATTAATTAAGAAGTATCCGATACTTTTAAGAAGTATCCGATACGTATCCGCGAGTATCCAAAGAGTATCGGTATCCGATAAATATCCGATACGGATACGTCACCCTTTTTGAAGTATCCGTGCTTCATAGCTAGAATCTAATACAAGGATTCAAGGTCATATTACAGTAAACAACTGAAATCTTCAATGCTCCATTAGCAGAATATACTCCTTTATACATTGGAGCACTCTTGACAACATGCCCAATTCATCACAAACTCATTATTAGAAGTTAAGCAACCATCTCAACTTGAGCTACTTCAAGGCTTTCTAAACAACACCTAAAATTTTATAATTCTAAAGGCATTTGGTTGGGTCTGTCAAAGAAGACACTGTGTGCAATGAATAAGTCTGCCATGCATGGGATGGATCAAAATTATTAGCAAAAGCAGCACTTTCTTTTATGAATAGAACAGACAGTAAATTGAGTTAAGAAAGTATGGTAAGGTTCATGTGGTTTATCATCCATTATCCCCCTCTAATCCATCATCATTGAATTTTCTAAGAATTTAATATTCAGAATCAAAACAGTAAACCCCAGATAAGCAGACTTGTCTAGCCACTCCAGACATCAATTGTTCAGAGAACCTTTAATGATTTAAAGACGCATTGGAAAGTGAAAATAAAAAAACAAAAAATTTATAAGGGCAAGATTTTCTGCAGACTATGAGGGAATTAAGAAAAGAGACTTTGATTGAAAATAAGGATGAAAACAAACCTGGAAAGCAGGCCCACTTTCAGCAGAATTCATGATACTCCAGCCAGCCATGAATGCAAAGAGGAATAATCTTCTAAGGATAATTACAGTAGGAGGAACTTCCACAAAGCTGAGCAAGTTCTTGACCCAAGGTGGAGACTCTTCTACTTTCTTTTTTAACCTGCTTTTCAAGTTGATTTTTGTTTTCTTCCTATTTATGAAACTTCCCATTAGTATTTTTTCAAAAGCAGCTTCTATTGCTTCCGCACTTCTTTCATGCTGAGCATATTGATCCAAAAGAAAATTGCGGGAACCCCAAATTTCTTCTTCAGAAGCATCAGTACTTATACCGAGTCGTTTATAAGGGTCCCAAACATTAGTTCGAGGGAATTTTGGAACATTGCCTACAGAAGAAGAAAATAAATATTTGACAAGAAATTTTCAATGTAATCAGCAATCATGCGAAAACATAAGGAAAACTGTGAGTGATGTATGTTACATAAGCTGATAAGCATTAAAAACTAGGAGTGATGACTTTAAATACAAATTAATCAAATCAATCTATGCAATCCAGTTAAGAAGATCCACACTGGAACTTATATACTAGAACCATTGGATGCACACGAACTGACCAACGAAATCATTGAATTCTTTCATGCTCCTAAGAAATGAGAAGCTAAGGAAGTATAACAAACAAATGATTGATCTTCGCAATGCTTATCGCTGGACAAAGAAATCAACACAAAACCTTGCTTATTATTTTTCTTAACAAGAATCGCTCATACACCTATGTTCCAAATGTGACTGAATCCTAAACCTCTGTTTTGGTTAGAAGGGGTATGGCATTGACATATGTACAATATAAACTAATTTATTCATTTGCTGCCTCCTTACCAATGGAGGGGGTAAGTTGTTATGTGAATATAAACCTCAAGGGATGGGATAGGATGTGATTTCTAGAATGGCATGGGGTAATTCGTATTTTCACTAAGCCTCAAGGGTGGAGTTGGTAATTTGCCCTAATATTTTCCATGAAGAGTATCTTGCATAACTGCACAAGTACAACAGATGAACTTAGTGGGAAAAATATATATATACAAAAAGCAAATGACTGAAGGTGGAAACTACAGATTGAGTGCTACAGGGCATTCAAGTGTAAGCACATGTGCATTGTTTTAATTTGGGTAAATTACACTTTGCCCCATTTACGTTTGGTCACTTTTTCACTTTGACCCTTAAAGTTTGTTTCAGTGTTGTCAAAGTCGCGCCTAGGCGCACGCCTAGGCGCAAGGCGAGTCGAGGCGCACCATCTGCGACTGTACAGGTACCAGGCGAGGCGGCTTGAGCCAGGCGAGCGCCTTAGCCGCGCCTTGAGCCAGGCGAGAGAGGCGCAAGGCCCTCGCCTAGGCGCGACTGAGCGTTTAATCTGTAGATCAGATCGAACGACTCAGATTCGACTCAGATGAAGCTTTCGAATGGACGAAAATCACAGAGGATCAGAACTCATTACCATATCAGTCGAATAGGACTCAGATTAACCCTAATCGAAGTCGTCTCTCTTCCTCTTTCGAGCTGCTGGAGCTACGACTGCGACACGAGCTGCGACACGAGCTGCGACACGAGCTGGACTTCGATTGCGACACTGGATCAACTTCGGCTGAGCAGGTTCGACTCCTTCTTCTTCGTCTTCGACACTGATCCCCTTCTCCTTCTTCTTCGTCTTCGACAGGTCGTCTTCGACTTCGACATTCATATTTTTTTTTTTTTCCCTTTTCTTCTTTCTCCTTCGGCTTCTCCTTCTTCTTCGTCTTCGATAGGTTCAGTCCTTCGTCTTCGACACTGATCCCTTTTTTTTTTTTTTCTTTTTTTTTTTTTTTAATCTCTTCAATTATTTGAGTTTATATTTTTTCAAACACTAGTTCAACCCATGATTATTAACATAATAATAAAATTAATTCATCATACATAAATAAAAAATAGATACATTACATTACATTCATTATGATTATATTAAATTGATTCATCATTATACTGAAATTAATAATTGATCATTAATTAAAAAAATAGAATTGATTCATGAGTTAATTAATTCATACATTCATTACAGTACATACATTGAATAAAACATTAATTAATTATCAAATTGATTCATAAGTTAATTAAAAAATAAGAAATTGATTAATTAATTAGAAAAGATTAATGTGTCTGTTATTAAAGAATTAATGTGTTGTATGTGTTGTGATTAATGTGAATTAATAAGAATTTAATTGATTAATAAAGATTAATCAATTTATTTGTGTTGTGATTAATGTGTTGTGATAAAAAAATAGAAAATTCAAAATTGGTTGATTAATTAATTGATAAATTGATTCATAAGTTAATCAATTTATTAATGTGATGAATTAATAAATTGGTCAAAGTTTTTCTTTAAAAAAATAATGTAACATAGGAATTAATGTAATGGAATGTAATGTTCATTAATTAATTATTGATCATTAATTAAAAAAATAGAAAATTGATTCATGAGTTAATTAATTCATACATTCATTACAGTACATACATTGAATCATAACATTAATTAATTCATAATTGATTCATAGTTAATTAAAAAAAATAAAAAATTGATTAATTAATTAGAAAAGATTAATGTGTTGTGATTAATAAGAATTTAATGTGTTGTATGTGTTGTGATTAATGTGATTAATAAGAATTTAATAAGAATTTAATTAATTAATAAAGATTAATCAATTTTATTGTGTTGTGATTAATGTGTTGTTGATTAAAAAAATAGAAAATTGGTTGATTAATTAATTGATAAATTGATTCATAAGTTAATCAATTTTATTAATGTGATGAATTAATAAATTGGTCAAAGTTTTTCTTGAAAAAATAATGTAACATAGGAATGAATGTAATGGAATGTATGTACTTAATTAATTAATTCTCATTAATTAAAAAAATAGAAAATTGATTCATACATTACATACATTAATTAATTCATCACATAACATACATTACATTCATTATACTGAAATTGTTTTTCTGTTATTTATTTTTGTGTTGTGTAGTAAGTACTATGACTAAGTAGAAAATGACATCGGAAAGTAATAGAAAAGATTCCGGCGGGCAATAATGCCCATTTGGTGGAGGAGAATAATTTAAACAAGTTTGAGTGTAATTTTTGTGGTAAAGTATCAAATGGAGTGTTTATCGGGTGAAACAACACCTTGCGGGAGGTTATAGGAATGTTACTGCTTGCCCGAAGTGTCCTTCTCTGTAAGAAGAGAGATTAGAGAGTTCATGTCCAAAAAAAAGACCACAAAAAGAGAAATGAACATGTTGCCTGATTTTGATGACATGGGGACATGGAAGATGAAGATGAAGATGATGATGTTGTTGAGATCAATGTCAATCAACACCGCAAGTTGACAAGTAGTAGCCCAAGGTTCATCCAAATCCAAATCCAAATCAAATGCCAAAGAGAAAAGGGCCTATGGATGTTTACTTCACACCCAATCCTGATCAGTGGTGAAAAATCGAAGAGACCAAGCAAAAGGGAAACAAACAAAATTGATGCAAATGACCCTTACAAAAAAGAAATGAGAGCTCGGCCACTGCAAAGATTTGCAAGGTGGATGTATGATGCTCGTATCCCTTTCAATGCAGTAAATTATGAGAGTTTTGGACCAATGATTGAAGCCATTGGCCAATATGGTCCTGGTTGAAGCCAACCACTTACCATGAAGTCGCGGT